TAGCTCTAGTTCTCCTGCAGTGTTTTATATAAGAGAATTGTAGTTGTAGAAAGAGACATAAAGAATTTCTCACTGGAACTACTCTAGTGACTATAGCTGGGATAACATTGATCTCATAGCCGACCTAGAGGTGTTTACATAAAATCAAAAGTTCAAAGTCATCCAGTAAAATGAATGCTTTCAATTGCGCTCGCCCAACCATGGCAGTATGGCTACCATCGTGAGAGCCAACTTCAGATATGTCGATCTTACCTATTCCTAACTAGGGCGTCTTACAAAGATGAGCAGAAAATTCTTGTGCAGCATATGAAAGATCCAAGCAGGCTCTCCAATTCTATAAGCACCAGCCATCCATTGCTAATCCAGCCCTAAAGAAAAATAGGATGGATAAGACCCTACACACAGCATATGCATGAGCCAAGCTTTATATATCCAACATTGCAAAGGACGATCACTTGATATACCCATTCATAAATCCTATGCTTGAGCAATGCAAGCTCTTGGGCCTCCATCTCTAGTGCCCGGCACTACTTCTTTTTCTGCAAACTTTGAGGCTGCAATAAAGAAAAGAAACCTGGAGCAAGCAAAACTTTTGTGTCAAGGAGTTGTGATAAAACAAAATTCCTTGGCTGCAAGGGCAGAGTAGGAGGGGCTGTGGTAGAACAAGAGTTTTTCCCTTCTCGGCTACAACTTCCTAGTATTGCCCAGCAAATGCTGGATGAGTACAAAAATTAGTAATTTTATACAATTTTTTTCTTCTGATATTTTTATACACACACAACTAATATATTACCAAAGTGTAAAAACTGAATTACTATGTAAATATTATTGATAAAGATATTATATGCAGTATTACTTGGGAAAATGGATATATTTAGAATACTAAGATTTTAAGAAACTTAATACTCAACCCAGAAAAAATTGAAACAAAATTGCTAAGAATGAGTTTTTTATAGATATAAGAAAAATATATTTAGTACACTTCTAGAGAAAAACAATAAAATAAGAATTACGAAAAATTAATTTTATTAATTAGATGTTACATGTAAAGTATGTTTTTTATTTGGGATATAAAAACATTTAGAATCCTAAAATATTAAGGAAACTAATATATTACTACCCAAACTCATAGAAATGTAAAAAAGAACTACTAATATTAATTATCATTAATTAAGGAAGCATTATTTAATTACTATGTGTTGGAATATTTAAGAACATTAATATATTACTCAGACCCAAACATAACCTAAAATTAAAAAATTATAAATAACCCTTAAACTCAAACACTTAAAAATAGAATCTAAATAAATTAATTTAATTTTAAGTAATATAGATTTAGTAAAGAATTACTTTGCCATGTGTTTTTCTTAGAATATAGAACAATAAAACTACTACCCAGACCCAAGTAAATCTAAGAAAAGAAATACAAAAAAATCTATAAATTCAAAACCTGATATTCTATGTTTGTAAGATTTATGAAGGTGTTTAATTTGTTTGTATTAAGACTAAGCTAACCCACACCTTGAGCATGCTGTAATTGCTGGATCAATACATCCACAGCTTAGGGGCAACTCTATCTATCAACTAAACATATACATAAAAAAGAAAATTGTAAGACAGTGTAAGTGCCATCTTAATTATACTAACTGATTGAGGCAAGTTTAAGTCAAAATGAATTTTAATCATAGTATCCAAGCTAGGAAACTATATTCTTGGCCCAATGGTTTTGCCACCTAAGTAACATCTCCTGTACAATCACCAGCAGACTCAGCAGCCATGCCCTACGAGAACCCCAAGAGCTGTTATTGTGCCCACACAATCCCTCACAAGAGTTTTCCAGGAGCCAAAAAAAATTGATAAGCCATGCAGGAGGGCCATAGACCCACAGCAAGGAACATTTTTTATCGCCTATTGTCCATGGCTTATGCCTCAGCAATTCTTTACCCCAACATCCAGCCTCCACCCACAACCGGAGGAAGGTGGAACAACGAAAGAGGTTGTGCTTACCCTGACTTTGATCAACCATGGTGGACTTGACACTCTTAGCCTTCTGCTTCTGGAACTCTTGCGCGAGCGAGCAAAAGCAGTGGGAGAAAAAATCTTGGCTCCACGATCTAGGCAGCTTGTCCTTCTCCCAGAGCTTGGTTCTGTAGTGCGTAGAGAGGCAGCAATATAGCCCAGCAGTGCAAAGCAAGCAATACAAGAGCCTGTTAAACAAGCACACTGAGAAAATGAGTGCGATAACCATCTACAAACTTGTAGTGTTACTAGGCTCTGAAAGCCTGAGCACACTTACCAAAAGCTCCAAAAGGAAGCCATCTATCATAATGGATTGTGGTTATTTTAAGTAATATATATTATTAAACAAAGAATATTAATGATCATCTCATTTTAAACCACTCTTTTGCACGCTTTAAAGCCATAAAACAATTTTAACTTTCCTGTTGAAAATGAAACTTTTAAATAATAATACTATTAGTATTATTTTATATACATACATACATATATATACATATACATATATACATACATACATACATATATATATACACATACATATATACATATATACATATACATACATATATATAGTAAGAGATACAAAAACAAAAAAGAAAGTTTTTATTTCCCTTAAAATAAGAATTAAATCATACTCTTATTTAATAGTTATGAGCTTTTAAATAAACTTTTAAAAGGACTTTTTTGGAGGAAAAATGACACAATGCTCTTCCTTTGTAGTTTTGATTTCTAAGTAAAACTTTAAAAAATATCTTTTTCTACTACCAACTCAAGGATAATTTAGTTAAATTTTTTCTTTTAATTATTCTATAAATAACACTAATTTTTTATATTAATTTTTCCTTTTAATTTCTTTTATTTTTATCATATAAATACTTTGTGACAATTATGACTTCAACTTTTCCTACTTATGACTCTAACTTTTCTATTGCTTGCACACATACACATATTTTAAAACTAATATACATATGCATATTCATGCAAAAAATAGTTTCAAAATATATTTATGTAAGAAAATAAATAAATAATTTGAGAGAGACAGATTATTAGTGTTTTATAAATTGATTAAGGGTTTTGAAATATTTATTTTTGTATCTCAAAACCCTTAAATCAACAGGTGTGGCAGCTAGTCTCAAGGGAGTTAACTATTATATTACTTTTGTGCATTACCTTGCTTATAGAACAAACTTATATATAGAAGATGTTTACAAAAATTCAGTAGTTTGTGAGCTTTATAACGAAATAGATAATCTTGTGAATAGAGTGATTGTGTTTTTCTCTAAAATTTTCAACATATTGCAATAATTGAAAACACTAAACTAAATTTTCATATATTAAATATATTGCATATCTAGCAAACTTGATAGTTGAGCAAAGGTAGAGCAATCAATTATATATATAGCAATTGTTAAATTTTTTAAAGGATGATGGAGCTTAAAATTGTGACAAAGCATAAGGTAGTGAACTTCATCTAAAGAGGATATGAAGAGAAAATTAAAAAGTAAGATAGAAATATAGGAGGAAGTAATGAAGAGACAAAAATGATAGAAACAAAGGGACAAAATAAAACAAAAGTGAAAAGAATGGAAAAGATATAAGGAAGTATAAAACAAGCTTAAAGTTATATTTAGCATGATTGCATTGTAACTAATTTATAACAAAGAGGTCAAAAGTTTGACTTAGCATCATTTTGTTAACGCCAAAGTCTCCATTTAAGAAATGGAGAACATCAATTTGAAAAATGCTAACAACATTGATACATATGACTAACCTCATCACACACTTAACAATAGATATCACAACCACAACCACATCTTTAAATTCAAGTAACAATAACATTAACCTCCATTGGAATAAGATAATCTCCCACAACAAGTGGAGTTAAAGGATGTGCAATGAGAAATAAGAAGTATTAATATCTCACAAAGTTGTGCCAAGCAAAAAACATTATCAAGGGTGGTTGGAATAAATACATGCACAAGTCCTACACGATCTTAACAAAGTGTTAGCTACAACATTCCTAATTTAATCCGTTCTAATATATTTGGTTTTGCATGAAGCAAAAAGCCTTGGAAATGAATATTAATTTGCATCATTAACTTAGATGGCCCTTGACAAAGATGATACAATTGTTGGAAGGCATTATCACAATTGTTAGTATGTCCAAATATGTGTTTAAAGATGTCTAAGAAAATGCTCCAATTTGCACAATGACTATAGTCAAATTATTGCAATGTTATACCTTGGAGACACGTGGGAAACTCATGCAAACACTAAATATCATCCCAAGAATGATATGTGGCAATCACTGTAAAATGATTGAACTAATGGTACATATTATTTGTAGGATTGCTACAGAAAAACTTTAGTCAAACACAAAGATTGGTAGCAAGAGCAAAAGAAGTTGTACCATGCTCTGTGAATGTCACCATTAACTAAGTTTAATTGTTCAATTACAACCACATAACATTGATCAATTGCACTAACTACTATTCCAGAGTCAAAGGAGGAAGAAGCTATTGCTCTACTATGAAAATGAATGGAGAAAAAAGGAAAAAACAATAGACAATACAAATGCTAAATCTAAACCAAAATCCTATCCAAACACTCTTCAAGGATAATTAAAGCTTGCTTTTTAACTCCACTAATTTGAGTGCATAGAATATGAAAATGGAATATAAAAATGTGTATATCAATTAACCTAAAAAACTATAATTTATATATAGAAGCAAGTCATAAATTGTAGTGCAAGTGATCATAGAATGAAATTTGGATATATTATCACTATGGATTCTTGGAACTTAGGGGATAAATAGAAATAAATAGCTATTAAGGGCTTTTTTATTAAGCAATTGTTTCTTTTCCAGTTGGCTTAAGGGAGAGAAGTACATTACATTTGGTATTAAAGCAAATGGAACAGGTTCGATTCCTATTGATTAGTGGCTACTTAAAAATATAATATATTGGTTGCAAGCGTTGCTTATATCTTAGTTGCATCACGAAAGTTGTATTAGTTACACCACGAAGAAATGTCACGAAAGTTGTATTAGTTACACCACGAAGAAATGTCACGAAAGTTGTATTAGTTACACCACGAAGAAATGTATAATATATTGGTTGCAAGCGTTGCTTATATCTTAGTTGCATCACGAAAGTTGTATTAGTTACACCACGAAGAAATGTCACGAAAGTTGTATTAGTTACACCACGAAGAAATGTCAAATGAAGACATGTCAAATGAGGACAAACAGTAGAGGCTGTTAGTCAATATCTGTGGAAGCTGTTTCTATCCCTCTCGTAGTATATAATCCCCATATTTCATTCTTGCAAGTAGATGTGCAACGATGATTTATTGCCCAATTTATGAATCTCCCTGGAAGAAATGCAAGTGCTTTCAAATCAACACAAAGGTTCCATCCAATTCAACACAGCTCGACCGGCTATGCCTTAATCTTCCTAATGGAATGTCCAAGAACCATCAGCTCGTGGACATTGCCATGGTGATCCTACCCTACGTACGGGAGAGCTGTGCCAATTTCGAAGTTGCTTTGGAGATCAAGAACCTCTTTGTGGGAGTGGGCGACAGCGATGTAATCATCAACTCGGACGCCCTGGGATTCTACCCCTACCGCATCAAACTCTGGATCGATCCACAGCTTGACGAGATGAAGAGCCCTGTCAATGCTATCTATGAATACAATTCCCGTGCCAATTCCAGCACGCGCACCACGAGCAGCGACAACGAGATTGGAGCTCGATTTAATCTATGGGCACTGTCGCTCAGATTAAAGAAATCATGGGGGCGGTCACTTCAAGAGCCAATGGAGTGCGAGTCCATCAGTGTTGGAGATCCAGGGAACACCGCCAAGCTCGAGTGGAATCTCCTTCGCTGGAATCACAATGGGATGAAGTATAATCCATCCAAACCATACTCTGGCCTTGGCTCTCTTAAGGTAAATCATGTTTTTACTCTTCTTTTCATCTGGGCGTGATCCATATAGCCGCCATTGCGAAGAGGGCGCACAAGTATCAGTGTGGAAGACTTTCCCATCACTGTGTGGCATCTGCCAGCAACCATGGCATCCAAGTTTCCACTCCGGTTCAACCTTCGTCTCGAGGCTGACATGCATCTCGTCTGGTACACAAGAAGCAAATGGGTGTGCCGAGAGGCAAATTGCACCAGCGAGAGAGTCGAATTTTCTCGAGAGTTTGTTGTCGCAGATGGTGAGTGACAAGTCCGACTGTCATACTGCTTCGAGCGTCTATCGCTTCTTACTGTTCTTCCCCAGTATCGAGTTTGGAGCTAGAAACTTACTACACATACATGTGTCTTTCAGTGTCTTGAATGGGATTTTAGCAGGCCAGATTGCCTCTGGCAGCGAATCCAGAAATTAGCTAGCCTTGCCTGCGAAAACCCTGCTGTTTTCCTCAAAGAGATCTCTTTCCTCCTTTTTCTGCTTTACCTGATCGCTCGCGCAATCGACGTTATGAACGGGTCACGTCACGCGTCCCTGTGGCTGTAGGAAGACTCGTTGTGGACAGCAGCAGTGTTAGAAGCTTTTCTAGCCTTCTCGGCCAGATTCCAGAGCATCCCGGTGGCTACCAAGATCATCAGTGTCACCATCTTGGGTCTCGAAAGCAAATTAATAAAGCTGGAAAAACAAGTACCTCGCCAATGTCATCCCACAGCAAGATCACGCTGCAGCCGAGCTTCCTTGGCCTCACTAACCGCGTTTTGCTTCTTCTCGTCATCTGGAATTCATAGGATATTATCGATCCAGTGTTTGGTCACGAGCCGCCAGTTTACAACGCGTAGTTCTACAGTCCAGAGAAGATCAAGGAAGAAGATGCCAGATGATAAGCTCTTGTCCTGTAAGTTCCAGTTCCACTTGTGTCTTGGGAAACATCAGTTCACAGCGTTTCGTTGGCGCGAATTAATTCAGCGTAAGTGAGGCTGTTGTCGGCTGTCAAACAATTCCTGGAATAAGAAGAAGTTTTATCAACAGCGAGGTGGGCCTGAAATTCAATACCTTTCATGGCAGAGATAGGCCAGAAAAGCAAGATTCAAGTTTGCGGAGCCGCACTCTGGGTGTGAGGTACTTGTAGTTTATTTCTGCCTATAGGTACAAGCGGAGTGGCAAGATCATGGAGTGCATAAGCTCGTACCAGGATCTCCTGTCGCAGATCGGAAGTCACGAGCAAGAGCTGAATGTGGACATTGCGAAGCTGGAAGTGTCTTGATCTTGTCACAAATGGAACGACAAGGCGCAAGCACTGCTGGGATCACAGTAAGCTCACACAAGAGCTCTCATTTCTCTGCATTGATAGCTCCCTCATGATCTTAGGCACTCGCTCTGGCATCGCCGCATACAAACGTCGTTCCAATTGGGGACGTGATGCTGGGTAGAACAAACGGATCGAGCGCACGCCTCGGCGCAAGCATCCAAATCCGAGACCCCACACACAGTGACGCACGAATTGGGCGTCACATCCTTTGCAAAGCTGCCCACTCGCTTCATCATCCGATCCGACGCGCACACGCGCTTGCAAGCGAATCGATCCTGGGAATCCAAATCCTGCTGCTGCTGCTGCTCGCTCTCATCGAGCGATGATCGCCGGCGCCGCCATCTCTCCGCAATGCCACCGCCGCCACTCTTGCCGCCCTTCCCGCGCCGCCGCCGCCGGATCATCGTGGCGGAGCCTGTGATTCCCAGTAACCCTAGCCCCAGCCCCACCGCCGCGCTCCACCACGAGCCCTCCACCATCCCTCCTCCACACTAAGCTTGCCCTAGAGCATCCGCGTATATTCTTGTGTGTAGATTAGATTCTATATTGGTTCCCGTTAGTTGGATCATTCGATTTCCAATATACAAGGAAAGAAAGAATATCCCAGGGGAGCTCTCCCCGGTTGCGGTTTTGTTGGCCCTGCCAGGGCTGCCATCCGCAAGTGGGGAGGTCCACTTGGGCAGACACAGTGTTATCTTAAGACAGTTGATACTCAAGCGCTACTTTTGTTCTATAGTATGGATCTTCGCAGTTTAAAGTGTTCCAGTTTGTTGGTCTCTACCTTAAGAAAAGTTAGTAATTTCTCTGGGAGAACCAGCCTTCTGCAGGTGGTAGTTGACCGATTTAAACAAAACCTCTTCAGCTGGAACACGAAGAAGCTCTTCTATATCCTGCAAACTCCAGAAACTTTAGAATTTTCACACAGATTCATTTTTTATTACCTCTGTATCGTTTACCATCTCCGCGAGGTCTGGTGCCGCTTTCATCTTGACGCCAGAAAGGAATTGAATCTAAGATTCTAAAGAGTTTTCTTTACGTGCAGGCATTACGGCCGATCTCCACGGATTGCGATCTTCTCGCTGGATCTCGCGCTATGGATGGAGATCCTCGGCTTCACGGTCCGGAGCTTCTCGGCGCTGGTTTGGTTGAAAACCGGCTAAGACCGTCTCTCGCCACGCATAATCTCGCTAGTTGCTACTAGAGGCTTGTCCAGCCCGGTGCTACTTCCGTTGAGAGCACCCGGGACCGCCAGACAGACGTCCATAACCCGATCCTCGGTGGCTCGATCTATGATCCAACGTACTACGCCTCGCTCTTGCGGATCTAGTTGAAGGAGAATTGCTTGAGCTCGTCAACAAATGTGGGATTTTTCAGTCTTCTTCTTTTTTCTCTGTATGGCGATAAGGCTGATCTCTCTATCCGTGCAGGACACTAACGAAAAGCGCGCTAGCGGAGTATAAGCGCTGTAGAGCAACTTTGTCCTTGTACCCGGCATTAAACTCCAGGTTTGTAACAACGTGCAAAGCGTTTGCTTTTGTCTCAAGTCACTCCTCAGGAGCTGGTTTTTCTCGCAGAGCACATTGGGGAAGCAGTTCACGCGGCATTCAAGGACAAGAAATCGACAAAGAAGGCAGAGAGACGAAGAAGAAAGCTCGATTTTGGTGTGGCCGGTGGTTCTTTCCTTCCACCCGAATGCTTTGAAGGTAATTGGCGACCGAGCGACTGAGCTGAGGGGACGCCTGCTTTTGGGGGCGTTGTGGTGTCCTATCCTCTCTTGGAGAGCCAATTCACGCTGAATGAGCTTCGCTCGCTCAAATCCGAGGTAAAGAACCTGCAAAGTCTCGTTCTTTCTTTCTTTTTCTTTTTCGTATCTTTTGGAGTAGCGACGTGATCACCGCCAAACAGTTCAAAGATGCTTTCAAGACTGGCTTTCATCCAAGAACCTCTAACAGAGCAGGAGGTGGCCTCCATTGTGAAAGAAAGGAGCAGCAGCTTGGATAATGAGGCCTTTCTGTCGGTAACGCGATCATCGTTTCCGAAGTTTCTCATGTCTCTGCAGATATACTTGGAGATGCAAAAGAGCGGCGTCAAAATCAGCCCGCAAACGAGCCCAGCGTCCCAGTTCCTGAAAAGATCAAGTACCACATTGATTCACACTCAGAGGAAAAAAGCGATCATATTAATAGCCATCTTTCCATGGGGGACATTCCTTCTTTCTTTCTAGGGATGATCTCTTTGACGCTGTTCAGGACGGTATACTGATCTGGTAAGTTTCCGGTCGTGTTTTCACGCTGAAAACTAATCACTGGTCTTGCAGCAAACTGATCAACGTACCATCGATGAGAGGGCTCTCAATATGAAAATCTCAATACTTGGGAAAAGGTCGAGAATCACACACAAAGGCAATTGGTTGCTCGATTGTGGAACATTGGAACCGAAGATTTGATCGCTGGAAGAGTTTCCATTTTATGCGCAAAAACTTTTTGACTGATCTTGTTTTTGTCTATGCAGTCTCGCTTCGTCCTGAGCATCAGTGTTTTGTCAGATTCAATTCCTTTCTGGCGTCAAGATGAAAGCGGCACCAGAGCTCGCGGAGATGGTAAACGATACAGAGGTAATAAAAAATGAATCTGTGTGAAAATTCTAAAGTTTCTGGAGTTTGCAGGATATAGAAGGGCTTCTTCGTGTTCCAGCTCAAGAGGTTTTGTTTAAATCGGTCAACTAACACCTGCAGAAGGCTGGATCTCCCAGAGAAATTACTAACTTTTCGTCAGATCTTACGGTAGAGACCAACGAACTGGGAACACTTTAAAACTGACCAAGGATGGGGAAACATACACCGTACTTCTAAACGTCTTGGCTCCTGAGAGCTGCGATTTGTCTCCGCTAGATCTCCAAGATCCATACGATAGAACAAAAGCAGTGCTTGCTCAGGGATGGAGGCGCAAAAGCTCGAGTAAGATGATACAAACTACCAAAATAGAATCTAGTCTACACACAAGAATATACGCGGATGCTCTGGGCTAGGGTTACTGGGAATCACAGGCTCCGCCACGATGATCCGGCGGCGGCGGCGCGGGAAGAGCGGCAAGAGTGGCGGCGGTGGCATTGCGGAGAGATGGCGGCGCCGGCGATCATCGCTGGATGAGAGCGAGCAGCAGCAGCAGCAGAATTTGGATTCCCAGGATCGATTCGCTTGTGCGCGTCGGATCGGATGATGAAGCGAGTGGGCAGCTTTGCAAAGGATGTGACGCCCAATTCGTGCGTCAGTGTGTGTGGGGTCTCGGATTTGGATGCTTTTGCCGAGGCGTGTGCTCGATCCGTTTGTTCTACACAGCATCACGTCCCCAATTGGAACGATGTTTGTATTCGACGATGCCAGAGCGAGTGCCTAAGATCATGAGGGAGCTATCAATGCAGAGAAATGAGGGCTCTTGTAAGCTTACTGTGACCCCAGCACTGCGGTCCATTTTGTGACAAGATCAAGACACTCCTCGGCTCCATCAGAGTAGCGAAACTCTGGATTTTTGCTCTTGCTCGTGACTTCCGATCTGCGACAGGAGATCCTGGTACGAGCTCATGCACTCCATGATCTTGCCACTCCGCTTGTACCTATAGGCAGAAATAAATTACAGGTACCTCACACCCAGAGCGGCTCCGCAAACTTGAATCTTGATCTCTGCCATGAAAGGTATTGAATTTCAGGCCCACCTCGCTCTTGATAAAACTTCTTCTTGTTCCAGGAATGGTTTGACAGCCAACAACAGCCTCACTTACGCTGAATTAATTCAGGATCATGAGCAAGACTCGGAGACGAGCGGGTTTTTCGTGTGTGGATCAATAGCCTTGGTATAACAAGTATGGAGTTTCAAGGTAACAAACTTTGCTGTGAACTAATGTTTACCAAGACACAAGTGGAACTGGAACTTACAGGACAAGAGCTTATCATTCTTCTCTGGACTGTACAACCACGCGTTGTATACTGGCGGCTCGTGAACAAACAGACAAGCAACGAACTGAATGCTGGATCGATATAATCCTGTGAATTCCAGATGAAAACGCGGTCAGTGCGACCAGGAAGCTCGGCTGCAGCGTGTTCTTGCTGTGGGATGAGGTACTTGTTTTTCCAGCTTTGTTAATTTGCTTTCGCCAAGATGGTGATGATCTTGGTAGCCACCGTGATGCTCTGGAATCTGGCTGAGAAGGCTAGAAAAGCTTCTAACACTGCTGCTGTCCACAACGGGTCTTCTTACAGCCACAGGGACGCGTGACGTGACGCGTCCATAACGTCGATTGCGCGAGCGATCAGGTAAAGCAGAAAAAGGAGGAAAGAGATCTCTTTGAGCAAAACAGCAGGGTTTTCGCAGTAGCTAATTTCTGGATTCGCAGCCAGAGACAATCTGGCCTGCTAAAATCCCATTCAAGACACTGAAAGACACATGTATTTGTAGTAAGTTTCTAGCTCCAAACTGGATACTGGGGAAGAACAGTTAAGAAGCGATGGACGCTCAAAGCAGTATGACAGTCGGACTTGTCACTCACCATCTGCGACAACAAACTCTCGAGAAAATTCGACTCTCTCGCTGGTGCAATTTGCCTCTCGGCACACCCATTTGCTTCTTGTGTACCAGACGAGATGCATGTCAGCCTCGAGACGAAGGTTGAACCGGAGTGGAAACTTGGACGCCATGCTTGTGGGCAGATGCCACACAGTGATGGGAAAGTCTTCCACACTGATACTTGTGCGCCCTCCTCGCAATGGCGGCTATATGGATCACGCCCAGATGAAACGAAGAGTAAAAGCATGATTTACCTTAAGAGAGCCAAGGCCAGAGTATGGTTTGGATGGATTATACTTCGTCCCATTGTGATTCCAGCGAAGGAGATTCCACTCGAGCTTAGCAGTGTTCCCTGGATCTCCAACACTGATGGACTCGCACTCCATTGGCTCTTGAAGTGAGCGCCCCCATGATTTCTTTAATCTGAGCGACAGTGGCCATAGATTAAATCGAGCTCCAATCTCGTTGTCGCTGCTCGTGGTGCGCGTGCTGGAATTGACACGAGAATTCTTGTAATAGATAGCATTGACAGGGCTCTTCATCTCGTCAAGCTGTGGACCGATCCAGAGTTTGATGCGGTAGGGGTAGAATCCCAGGGCATCGGAGTTGATGATTACATCGCTGTCGCCCACTCCCACAAAGAGGTTCTTGATCTCCAAAGCAACTTCGAAATTGGCACAGCTCTCCCGTACGTAGGGTAGGATCACCATGGCAATGTCCACGAGCTGATGGCTCTTGGGCATTCCGTTAGGAAGATTAAGGCATAGCCGGTCGAGCTGTGTAGAATTGGATGGAACCTTTGTGTTGATTTGAAAGCACTTGCATTTCTTCCAGGGAGATTCATAAATTGGGCAATAAATCATGCTGCACATCTACTTGCAAGAATGAAATCCATCTATCTATTGATCTGTTTTTTGGGCTTATGGTTTAGGGATTATATACCAAGAGAGGGATATAATATAAATTAAAGTTTTTGGGTTAATTTATGAATCTTTCTAGAAGAAACACAAAGGTTCAACTTGACCTGCTATGCCTTAATCTTCCTAGTGGGATGCCAACTTGGTTAAATGGTGTTGTTTGTTTTGTGTTGATTTGAATGCACAACTCATCAATCTATCATAATAAGGAGGGAGTGCCAAACTTTTTGTATGCCAAATCCAGCTAATTGCAGCCGATGAACTGTTAATGGTAATGGAAGGCATGACACGTGTCACATGTAATGTGTTGACTCAGAGTGAATTGTTTTTGTTTTGTAATGTTTTTCTAGGGTTTATGAAATGCCCCTACTGCTGCTACTGATTCCCAATCCAAATCTGATTCACAATCCAAATCTAAGGCACTGCCGCTGGAACAAGCCATGTCTTGGTACTGTCGCTAGACTGTCTTGGCCACTGTTGCTAGAATGCTAAGCTCAATGTGCCTATGGGTCTGATGCCTCTACGGAGGAAAAGACCAAGAAGTGGTATGTCTAGCTTTGCTTTGACAATCTTAAACACTCACTCAGCTTTTTTTCATTTTCTTCTTCTTTTCCTAGATGAATATTTGAACCAAGAAGCAGAGAATGCAAAGACATTGTCTCTGCGACAGCATGTGATGTCCCCACCATGCTTCCGGAACCTTTTGTTAACAGTGATGTGTTTCCTAAGAGAGCTAGGCAGGGTATATTGTTATTTTTCATTTTTCTTTCATAACTTTGGTATTCTCATACAGGATGTGTCTCTGCTTTTGGCTCTTCATTGCATTACCATGAGGAGTTCCATCAAATCAAGGTATTTGTGGTGCATAGAATTTGTATGATCTTCATTCTTACTCCACTGTTAGGAAATAGGATGAGGCGATTTCAGCTATGTTTATAAAGTTCTCAAAAGACTTGGCAGCTGCCTATATGCTGTAAAGCATTCCAATTGGCATCTGCTAAATGAGGGAGATCGTTTTGTCACTATATTCAAGAGACTATGATATTGATTTGGCAAATTTTTCTCTTTGCAGGAGGAAAGCACTAAGAGAAGTTTAGGCACTTTCATGTCTTGGTGAGTTGGCTTTTTTCTTTCAGTATTACCACTGGCTTCCTCAAAACTTATCTAGCTTCCAGGTTACCATGAAAACGTAGTGTGTTACTTCTCTTCATGGTTCGAGAATGACTTTTTGTATATCCAAATGGAGCTGTGTGAGACAAATCTACAAGACGAGAGCCTTGCATGGACATTCACGGAGAAGAAGCTGACCGAGGTGATGTTTCAAGTAAGCAGCTCAATTGTGTTCTTTTCTTAGTTTGTTATGCATGGCAGCTCTTAAACGCTTTGAAGCACTTACACTCGCACAGCCTTGCTCACCTAGACGTGAAGCCCAACAACATCTACATCCGTAATCGCGTCTACAAGATTGGTGACTTTGGCCTCACTAGTCAAATTGATGGAACCATTTCCATCAAGGATGGCAACTCAAGATATCTCTGTAAGGAACCAACTCCCCGAGATGTCGTAGGCCAAAGGATCCCCGAAAGCTTGACCGAAATGACAAAGAGTTCATCGGATGGGACCGAGTCGAAGATTGAGTCGATGCATACTCGAGTCTAGAATACCACCAAGGAAACAACTCTAGAAAAAGTTCACGGTATTCACACTATGTGAGAAATGCACCAATTTAAATGAGTTAGGGGTAACCTCTTTGTCTAATGCTGATGCGCTACCAACTCAAACACCTTCCGACCGTCGCCGACAAGGAAATGACCAACAGAGTCAGCCACCCTTGCTGCTCTGGGAGCCACCCAGCTTAAAAAAGTGTGATATGCCCTTGCCCACAAAGACATAGAGAAAGAAGCCAGAGGCCCCAACCCTCCTGAGCAAAGAAACCAAACCCGTCGGTAAAGTTTAGATAGACTACTGTAAACAGGCAGTTAGAGTTGTTTACACGGTCACACCCTTTTGAACGAAATAAGGAATATCGACAGAGAGGCGGGTGATGTGACCAGTTGACAGTAGTTACCCCATGACTAGAGATTTCACCATGCACACGAAGTGCCGAAGCTAGGCTGCCTATACTGGCTGCAATTCAAAGATCAATATATAGACAATATCAAAGTCATAGACAATGATATCTTAGAGTGTTAATTATTTGTAAATATATCTTAGATTAAAACATAAAAGTATTCCAAGTAAGTTATCATCTGATAAACTAATATGACAGTATAGGAACCACGAAAATCATCATAATCGGTAAACATAGGAATCACCATCCAACAAAATTCAATAGCAAATATATCATCAAGGAAACTCATGTGAGACACAAAATCCCTAGGCCCCAAAGTGGAGCCAGAAGGGTGCCATGTGGTAGTGGCCGAAGCGAAAGCTAAACAAGCATAACATGTTTGGACCAAAAGCTCCGACTTGAAAAGTTGAGAGTGGGAGTGGAACTCCCAACAAAGTGCTCGAGGAATGAGCACGAAGCGAGCAATGAGCGAGGCTCCAAAAAATGGACCCAAAAGGACCAACACATGACACGTGGAAGTGTCCGAGATGGACCCGAGTTGGAGTCTGAGGTGGAGTCTGAGATGGAGTCCAAGATGGAGTCCGAGATGGACCCAAGCTGGAGTCCAAGTTGGAGTCCGAGATGGAGTCCGAGATGGACCCAAGTTGGAGTCCGAGTTGGAGTCCGAGATGGAGTCCAAGATGGAGTCCAAGATGGAGTCCGAGATGGACCAAGACGGAGTCCGAGATGGACCGAGACGGAGTCCGAGATGGAGTCTGAGATGGACCGAGACAGAGTCCGAGATGGAGTTCGAGAGGGACTCGAGATGGAATCCGAGATGGAGTCTGAGGTCGAGACTGAGACCGGGACCGAGACCGGGACCGGGACCGAGACCGAGACCGAGATCAGGACTGAGACCGAGCCCGAGCCCGAGCCCGAGTCCGAGTCCGAGCCTGAGGTCGAGTTCGAGTCCGAGTCCGAGTTCAAGTCTGAGAGGGTGAAAGCCCAAAGCATTCGTCTCCCAAACCCTGGGGGGTTTGGTGAGCTCCAAAAGTATAGTAAGGGGGAGGACTGCAGTGGAGCCAGTTTAGACAGGAAAGGCTAGTTTGGCCTAGGAAGGCTGTACCCAATGTTGGGTTATGAGCTGCCCACTAGGAAGTCCAAGACTAGAGTGAACACGGACTGACAAGCGGTGGTGAAGTGTTCAAGAGCCGGCTCTAGTTCCCTTGGGAGATCAACTGGCTGATGCTCCTAGTCCAAGTGTGAGTGGCACTACCTATTTGGATACCTAGCGTGGCTCAATGGAACCTCGCTCTAAGCCCATGGCTAGAGCACCTAAAGGCGGAAGGCGGGGAGAGTACCCATGAGGCCCGCGTAGGGCCACAGTGTTCCGAAATGTTGTCCCAAAGTCCCAGTCTGTGGAAAAGAAGAGGAGTAGCCCTCCGGTGTGGTGACCAAGGACACAGTCACACAGTGAGGAAGTCCTAGAGGACAGTGGGACTTAGTGGTCGGGCTCGTGGGCCTTGATCTAGTGGCAGTGTTGGCAAACATGGCCAAGGATAGAAAAGGACTTGGTGGAAACCAGAATGGAGATATTGGGGAAGGCTATTCTCCATGTTTGTGGGCATCCTAAGGATGCTAAAGAGTGGATCTGGGACGACCACTCATGGGAGAATGGCCTAGTCTTGAAGAGACGGGATTGCAATGCAGGTGGTGTTAGACCACCGATGTGACCAAGGTGAATGAGCGTAGCCTAGCGTAATGGGCTCATATGTCGGTGGTACCTTGGGGTATCGGTCATGGGATCAGACACGTGGAGCACTTGGACCAAGTGCAAAGGTTGAGTGGCAAGGATGCCATTCTCGGGGCTAGCAAGCCCAAGTCCAAAATAGGACTTATGGAGGTTGTGAGTGAGACTTCTCCAAGTGGTCGGAGGTGTGGTTAAGTGACTAAAGTAGAATGGAAAAATTAATCGCTTACAACTCAATAATGAAACCTAACTACCGAGGATGGCAACAAACAGTTTACTAAAGATAACTCAAAGAACATAGAGTATCATTGACTAATAAGCATTATGATCGCGAATGTATCTTCTGAAGGAAATAACATCCCAATCTATCAAAGTTAACTTGAGCAATAATCAACAAAATAAAATGATTGCAGCAAAACCAACAAACACTCATTCATGCCAACTATCACACTAGCCAATCTAAATAGATCCCAGTCAATAATACCAAGGAACTCAAGTTGCTTAAGTAAGTGTTAGCAACATCCTACTGATGTCTCAAACCCAAAAGACCAATCCAAAGCAAACCACAAATAACATATGGTATTGCGAAAAACCATAAACCACCAAGGAGAACAATTAACTATTATGAAAGAACATCAATCATCCCACCAATGAGGAGATACATAATCATCATCGAAGAAACAATCTACCATCCCAAAGAACAGTAAATCATTTTATACCAACAATAATCAAGCAAAACCTTTTGACAGTGATAATCAACTATCCTAGATGACAGTCAATCATCACCAATGATTGCTAGATGTAAATATTAACTTCAACAGTGAAGTTATGAGCTAAAATGCCGTCCCCCAACAACTCCGAACAAATAGAATAATAAGCATAAAATTCAAAGAACCAAAAGCTTGAAGAAGCTTATAGCTAAGTCTTGTCTAACAATAATCACGAGTCTTACATGAACTAATTTCAATGCTAAAGAAGAAATCATGGTATAACCCACAATACCCTCTTCAACACATCCATAAGCAAAACTTCATAATGCTAAAGCTAATGAAGAGTATATCTGCATCAACCCAAAAGCTAAGTACAATAGAGTTATGCTCAACAAGTGATTATCAAATCGATCCTCCATGAATCCATTTTTAGCACGACATAACTCACTTCGTAACAAGCACAAGGAGAATCATCAATGATCAATATAT